AGGCAAATCAAGAATTCATGAGCTGATGCTGAAGAAGATGTACCCTGTTTGGTTTGACTAGTCAATATTAATAAATGTGTTAATATTAAGTGAGCAGTATGGTACTAATAAATTTAAGCAAAATATTTGTCACTGACAGAAGATAACGGCAGATACGTCACTCCCTTGTCGGCCAAGGCCACCCTTCATTTTCAGAAGCTTATTTAATTATGATATTTAGGTCACTTTGTTTTTTACCTATTAATATTTTTTAGAGAAGAAGGTAAACGAGCATGCGGCCCACCTGATGATAAGTAGCTATCGTCACCAACGTACAACAACACCGGGCAAAATGCAGGTGCAATGTCAGCCTTTTAACTGGAGATAGGGAATTCCTCAAAGTTGTACAAGATAGGGATCTTTTCAGATTCAAATTTATTTTTATTTGTGAATACAGGCGATATAACAGAATAGATCTTTGAAAAAAATTCAATTAGAAAGCATTTTCTGGTAAATGGCAAAGTGGTGGACAACCAAAAGACGATGAGTTCACCTGGGTGGTTACCACCCTTACGTATTTCTGAAGGTAAGCAGTACTGCGTGCACTGTTGAGCTCCGATCCGAAAAAGGGCCTAAAGAGATCTATGGATGCTGTCAGACCATCACATAGAGGAAGTAATTCAACAAACAACGCGTGTGAAACGCATCTGTTCCCTTACTTGTCCTTAGCAGGCTAAGGTAAGCACATACTACATATTACTACAGGTAGATTGTAAGTGTTTTTTAACTTCTATAATAATAATAATCCACAACTATCACACAACGCCATCTAGTCCCAAGCTAAGCAGAGCTTGTGTTATGGGTACTAGACAACTGATAAACATACTTATATATTTCTAAATACATAAATATTATAGATAAATTACACCCAGACACAGAACAAATGATCGTGCATCACACAAACATTTGTCCTGGGTGGGAATCGAACCCACGACCTCCGGCATAGCAGTCAGGGTCACTAACCACTAGGCTAACAGGCCAGTCTGTCTATTTTAGAACTATACCTATAAACAATTATTCGCACCATAATTAATAATGCTGGTAATCCCTACTTTAAAGTATGGTAGTGAAAGTTGGGTGTGGCAGAAGAAGCACAAAAGTAGATTATATGCTGTAGAACTGCGGTCTTTAAGGAGTATGCTAGAGTTGAATCTGAATGACAGGGTGAGAAATTGTATGATAAGAGAAAAATGTGGTATACAAGATGATGTTGTGACCAGAATTAAGAAAGGAATGCTTCGGTGGTTTGGTCATGTGGAAAGAATGAATGAGGAAAAGTGACAAAGCAATTTTATATGGCAGATGTGAACGGCAGAGTCGGGAAGGGACGCCCTAGACGAAAGTATATTGAAAATAGGCCACATTAGAAGTACCTTTAACCGACGAGCGTTTATGCGTACATGTAAGGATGTAAAGGAGGAGGAGGTATGTCGGGATCGTGCCAAATGGAAGTCCGTAGTCTCTGCCTACCCCACTGGGTGACAGGCGTGAGGTTTATGTTATGTTATGTTATGTTGATACGCACCAGGGTCTTTACAGCTTACAGCAATGTACGATGAGATAGGTTATTTTTATTCTACTCTGATATATTTACAATTGAAAACTTTAATCAGTGTGCACGGGTCTTACGCCTCCGATCTTATATTCGACATTTTTATAACAGCTTCTTAAGGACTGACATAAAAGTACTGTAAAAGTCGAGTAGTCAAAAATATCATCATTTTTTACAAGGAAAAAATGGCAACTCCGATAAGATCTAAAAACGCCTACAAAGAATTCATCGCATTCTTTGCTTTAATGAATTTCTAACTAATGGTCACCACACATGGTCAGTTCCACTGATTAATCCAACTGATCAGTTCAAACAAAACTGTTGATATTTTTTAAATAGTGGATTTTCGATACATCGATTATTTTAAATATATTAATATCGGAGTTTGCCGTGTAGTGGCGTTTGAGAATATCCACTACCCCATATCTTCCCGTGGGTGTCGTAAGAGGCGACAGAGGGACACAGAAAGGAGATGGGCAGCAGCATCTTCCTAATAACAACAATAACATAATAAATTAAACTGCGGTTGCCAACCCGCTCGCCAAGCGTGGCAACTATGGCAAACATCCCCCCATGAGCAACGACGCAAACAAACGTCCCCCAGTCCCCGGCGGCCCCGCTATTCCTGGCTACGGTGGCGACCACTGTAACGGCGGGGCAGGGGATGCTAAGAATCTCCGGTGGAGGTTCGGTTGTCACCTACGACGACTCGACCTGGTAACGTATAACGCACGCACCCTGAGGACTAACGAGAAGATACTGGAGCTGGAAGAAGAGGTAGACAAGTTGCGCTGGCATATTATTGGATTATCTGAGGTCCGAAGAGAGGGGGCGGACACGGTAATCCTCGAGTCCGGCAACTTGTTCTATCACCGGGAGGGCGACCATCTGTCCCAAGGAAGTGTCGGATTTATCGTCCACAAGTCTCTCGTCAACAACATTGTAAAGATTGGGAGTGTGTCGACGAGGGTCGCGTACCTGATACTCAGAATCACCAAACGGTATTCGCTGAAGGTCATACAGGTCTACGCACCAACTTCGGCACATCCCGATGAGGAGGTGGAGGAAATGTATGAGGATATTTCTAGATCCATGCCTTCCTCCAAAACCCACTACACGGTGTTGATGGGAGACTTCAACGCAAAACTAAGCACAAGAGAAGGCGGTGAGCTGAAGTTAGGGAAATTCGGAGTAGGGCAACGGAACCGTAGGAGCCAGCAGCTGGCTGACTTTATGGAGAAAGAGGGACTCTTTATGATGAACTCTTTCTTCCAGAAGCGGCCGCACAGGAAGTGGACCTGGTCGAGCCCCGACGGTTCGACAAAAAATAAGATTGACTTCATTATGACGACCAGACGCTAACTGTTCAATGATGTCTCAGTGATCGCAAGGGTAAAAACCGGCAGCGATCACCGAATGGTTAAAGGCACACTGAACCTAAACGTTAAGTTGGAGAGGTCTCGTCTAATGAAGTCAACGCTCCGTCCCCCTCGTGCTCTAATCCAGAAACCTTTCAACTCGAGTAACGTAACCGCTTTCAGTGCCTAGAAGATTGCAATGCAGTGGACGATATGAATGACAAGCTCTTGGAAACTGTCCATGCGGTCGGAGCTAAGTTCTGCAAGACCCACCGCAGAAGAACACAAAAACTCTCCGATCACACTCTTAATCTCATGGCTGTTAGACGGGAGATGAGGCTGCAATCGTCAACAGATTTGACAGCATACAGGCAACTGAACAGACAGATCTCCAAATGCATGCGGCGAGACTTACGCAACTTTAATACTGCTCGTATTAAAGAAGCGATCGAGCGGAACCAGGGCTCCAAAGTCTTTGCCAGAGATCTGTCTGCCAAAAAGAGCCAACTGTCAAAGCTGAAGACTGAGTGTGGCAGCATCATTTCCAGGACACCTGAGATTTTGAGTGAGATTGAGAGGTACTATGGGCAGCTGTACACATCATCGTTGGAGCCACATGCAAGTGTGAGTAACGATCCAAAAGCAAGTCTTACCCGACACTATTCCGATGATATCCCGGACGTCAGTCTGAGCGAGATTAGAATAGCTCTCCAGCACCTTAAAAATGGCAGGGCCCCAGGCGAGGATGGAATTACAGCGGAGCTTCTGAAAGCGGGTGGAATACCGGTACTTGAAGTCCTTCAGAAGCTCTTCAATTCCGTCCCCCATGGTGGCACTACTCCGGAGGCGTGGAGCAGGCTCACTGCTGGCCGTATGAGGACGCTCAAGGTTGCTCAGCGAGCTATGGAGAGGGCTATGCTCGGAGTTTCTCGCGTGATAGACTCTGAAATGAGGATATCTGCAGTAAAACCAGAGTGACCGATGTAGCCCAACGGATTAGTAAGCTTAAGTGGCAATGGGCCGGCCATATAGCTCGAAGAACCGATAACCGATGGGGAAGAAAGGTTCTCGAGTGGCAGCCTCGTACCTCGTAGGGCGACCCCCCACTAGATGGAGTGACGACCTGGTAAGACATGCAGGAAGTCGATGGATGCAGGTGGCTCAGGACCGTGCTTTGTGGCATTACTTGGGGGAGGCCTACGTTCAGCAGTGGACTTGCTTTGAAGGGCTGTAATGATGATGATGATGATGAATATCGGAGTTTTACGATATAAGTTTATTTATTGATATATCGAAAATCCGTTGAATGATCAGTTGAACTGACCGTGTGTAGCGACCTTAACAGTAATGCCTAATAATTCGATTTATTGAAATACTTTGTATTGTTATAGTCAAATGTTAAAATATCGTACAACGTATAAATCTTATAGAATTTCATCTATGATCAACCATCGAAGCTACGGTTTTTTTTTAAATTTCTCAAACTGGAAGATTTCCGTAGGTAAGTTTTTTTTAACCGACGAGTACGTGGAAAATCATCATTTTAAATTATAAGTTACAATTTCAACGGTGCCGATGGGAATCGAACTGGTTTTGCTCACATACTATTATATAATATTTTATAGCGAGAACTGATCCCTGAGCTTATACGATTCTTTTTTAACCGACTTCGAAAAGGTAATGAAATAAAAAAGAAATTGAGTACCTCCTGTACTCAATTTGAATGTTTTTTATATGTGTTACCTCAGAACTTTTTACTAAGTGAACCGATTTTAACGATCCTCTTTTTTTGAAAGCTGGTGCCTTTAGTTTGGTCCAATATAAAGTTGATCAAGATCTGACCAGTAGTTTTTGAGTTATCCTTAATAATGCGTATTTAAATGACTTATTATAATACATTTATGATGTTCTCATTTAATTTACATTGAAGTCGTTGTAGAAAATTTTTAATTTTACAACTTGTATAGAAGTGATGTTGGTCCGTATATTATATCGTTAACATAACGTCAAATAACATAAGTGTGATATTACCTTACGATAAATGTACATACTTTTGAAGTTGTCTTCAATCCTTGGAAGCACTCGTGCATGCGACATTGTTCTACCCTTTGCCCTAGACTAAAACAAATGTGCACTTCACACTAACAAAGGTGTCAAGATCCTTTAAGGACAAAGGATGCGTGAAAACGTGTTCAAAAATATAAAATGAGGCCCTATATATATTACATGTGAAACATTTATAATAACATTTAACAAGTCTCACAGAATACCAGCGAAAAATAGCAGTTTAATACTGCTGTGTTTCGTATTGTGAGTGTAGAGATCCGGAGACCCTTTTTACTGGAAACGAGGCATTCCATATTAGTACTCAGGAGTGAAAACACATCTGCGTTTTAATTTTTAATCAAGGATAAACGTCCATGTCCATGGGCCACAGCATCCACTTACCATCAGGTGCACTGTGTGCTCGTTTGTCACCCTTATTCTATAAACAAAAAGTGAAAACCTACTTCAAGTTGCTAAAATAGACGTTTTTTATTTGGTATGTTTAGGGGTGAAATTTTTTATACAAAATTATATGGGGCCACGCTCGAAGTATAACCTATTTACTAAAAAAGAATCATCAAAATTCTTTCACAGTCTGCGAACATATCGCGTGACATACATACAAAAAAAGAAAACATGCACTCGAATTGAGAACCTGCTTCTTTTTGAAGTTAGTTAAAATAGCTAATTAATAGAATAAGACGTTACTTTGCGCGTAATAAAACAAAATTATGTGTCTTACTTAGCCCTCCCTCAATTGCGTACTATCCCCCGTTACCAATAATCCCAGCATCACTAAAGAGAGCTCTCAACACCATTACACTAATAAACACAAACCATCATCGATAATACGACACGTGAATTCACCTCTAAACGAAGCATCCCAATTTGAAGTTGACTTTTATTTAAATCTTAGCTAATCAACTTTTAATTTTTAACATATTTGATTTAAAATATCAATTACTGTGTGACGGCTCTAAACGGGGCCAGCCAAGCAGTGTTGCCATTTCAGCGCATTTGACGCTAGATCCGGTGCAATTCTAGAATCTATAGGGCTTTTTTTATATATCTACATGTTAAAAGTATCTTTTACTAGTCTACTAGATATTTTATGCACGTAGATGTTCATAAAATGCGCTACAGACCCTAGAATGTCATCATATCTAGCGTCATATGCGCTGAAACAAAAAAGCTCTACAATCTATTACACTATAGAAAACTATAATAATAAAAGGGAATGACCTAATTATCTGAACGTAAATTCACGTGAATTTGCGTTAAATTCATTCATTTTTATGGTTTTCTAAGTTTAACGATCGTAAAATATATAGTTGCAGCGTGATCTACCATGTGTAAAAACAAATAAAAAACGAAAAAATAAATAAACGGAATAATTTTTATTTATAATTTACAAGTAATTATTATTAATGGACGTTTTTGATTTTCGGAAAACTCTGTCTTGGAAAGAACCAGCAAGAAATCCAGTGGTACTCTTTACAATACAACAACGCGGTTAGGGTGCTGCTGGAATTGCCTCTGCGTGTTTCTGGTGTTTAGAGTGCAGGGGAGCAAAAATATCAAATATCATCCCGAAAATTATCCCGAGTAGGCTAGACTGCTTATACATGCGCCATTGTATTGCCATTTTGGGTAGAATGGTTTCATTTTTTCTCAATATTTTTTATAACTAATAAAAATACTTCTTAATTAAATAAATGAATTCTTAATCTTTTAATGATTTCTTAAATTTACGCGAACACTACATATTGAATAAAACTATATATACGGATTTTGTCGCGTTTAATTTACTGAAGTAAATTAAACAATACAAAAGCAAAATCCGTATATATTTTATTTATTCTTCTTCCTTAAAAAAATAATAATTAATAATGAACGTGTTCACATGTTTCAAGTTGAGCAAAACATATAAGATTAAAGACAGAATTCAGCATTCTCATTAATGTTAGAGCTTAAAAGGTTTTATATAAGTTAAACACATGGAAAAGGCTATCGCCGTATTGATCCGAGTGAATACACAATTTCTATAAAAACTTGTAAAAACGCCATCATAAGGTCTAAAATTGCGTAGCGCCCGCGACGATTAAAAGCGCTTATAAATTGTCATAATCTTAAAATATTTTTTTTTAATTATTGATTTAAGTAATCAAAATAATGAGCAAGTAAATTACGGATATTGATGTTATGAATACATTTGAGTGATTCCCAAGCATATAGATTAAGTAATTTCGTTGTGCTTTCAACTATAGTGATTTTTAGAGGTGTTTTCGCAAATAATTATGATCGAGTCAAAATTATACAATCGTGTTTTTGAACAATCAAATTCAAGATAAAGGCATGAATCTACCTATATCAAAATACCACTTTCGTTTGTGGTGTCATAGTCCTATACTATTCGATGAAAGGAGGTGCATTTTTACACGGTGTCGCCTTAAAAGAGAATGGTGTTATCCGTGACAAACCTTAGAATACGTACACCAAGTAAACACGTATGAGTAAAAGTTGGGAGTATTTCATACGTTATTTAAAGGGCTTCATTCGTAAAAAGGTCACGAGCTTAGATCTACACAATCCTACTCTTTGGGTTGCTGCAATATTTATCATGGGATTAGATAAGACTGGTGTACCTACGAGTAACATAAAATAAGGGGTTTTATTTGTCTGCTTTTACGAATACGTACGTATATGTTGAGTTAGTAAAATTTCAAATCGAACTGAGTTTGTTTTCGTAAGAAAATTGTTTTTTTTTAAATATTATTTCAAGCTAGTCTTTGACTACCTTAAATGATAAATCTTACTGTATTAACGTAACAAAAACCTATTACTATTGCCTTAAAGACACCTAGAATGAAATCTAACGAAGAAACAAACGCCGCCAAATTATTCCACTCCTTTGTTTTACGTATTGCAAAAGAAGAAACAAATACTTCGTTTAGAATGCAGGGAATATCGTGGAAACTGGTAGAGACCCGTCGACCGTCTTGTTGTCCGACGCAACGGTGGAAAAGGAATTTAATTACGTAATTCCTGCGCAAGAATATTTGTGTAAAAATATTGAATATTGGATGAGACAAATAGACGGCTAAGCATCGTGAGCTCGGCACCTGGAGGACACGCTCCGAACCAAACAGAACGTCTCCTCCGATCCAAATTTTGTATAGGATGTTTTTAGATTAAGTATTGCATTTCACATCAGGGCAAAATTGATCTCGTCTGTCGTAGTAATATAGAAGTAGGTATGTAGTTTTTTTTTTCAAACTACACCCACACTAAGGTTTACTCCCGTATCGTGAAGGTAGATTACATACATAAATTGCACATTTAGTAGGGTATAAAAATACTTTAAAAATAGTAGAGCACGCGGCAGCTTTCTGCTGTTGTACGAATATGCCGGCTCGAACTGGGGAAGTACCGCAGGCCCACAGAGTACCAACGTGAAGTAGAAGCCTACGTTTGACCAGAAGTTTTCTTCCTAGCATTACTTTGCCGTGTAATCGGCGCCCACAAACGATTTTTCAGGACCGATATGACTTAGGGACCTTCAAGAAAATACACTTCTTTTATAAAAAGCCGGCAACGCGCTTGCAACTCCCCAGGTGCTGCAGTGGGAGTTGTAAGAGGTGACGTACATTTTCTAAGAAAATTTTCATGGCCTCCATGGTAACCATCTCGTAAAATTTATATATTATAAAAACTAACTTAACGCTAAGACAGTGTGATTTACCATCTAGGGCTTGATCACCACTTACCACCAGGTGGGGTTGTGGTTAAGAACTGGCTTATAATTAATTAAGAAAAACTTTATTATTGTCAGACATGAGTAGCGTTATAACAACATGTAACATTACCTGGGAGCACCGCAGTACCCCCGCCAAGTCGGGCAAAAAAGCGGCAGGACCGTACTATCCTTTTCTCGAAGCAGTTCAGGCCATTTTCGACCTTTTATAACTTCGTTGTGGATAAAACTAGAAGCCTGAGTTTTCAGTAATCAAGCAGGCATTGCATAAACACGGTAATTTCAATTTTAGCCAGTAGTTTAAGATTTATAACTAGTCAAATTTTCTTAATTTTGTCACTCACTGACTGACCGATCATCAAAATTCTAAGGCATTTCTAGCAGATATAGAAGCTTCCAATTTAGAATACAACTAGTGTTTAGTGTATAAATCAAAGAAAAACTTAAATATTTTTCAATTTCGGCATAAATAACTTTATAATCCCATATAAATATATAGGATTACAAAGTTACATTTCAGTGAATGAATCAGTGTACCGGTATATGTATAATGTAATAGAAAAATAGGTAAGGTACCGGAAAGGAAAAAAAGTAGGACAATCTACAAAAAGAAATGAGATTCCATCAAAAACATAACTTGTAAAAAAACAATCTCGCAACTCCTCAGTTCTTCTACCGTAATATTTGTGAAATCCTTGTAATACCAAGTCGTCGGTTAATTTATTCAGTCCGTACTTAAGGGTCCTTCTGTCTCAAGTTATTGTGACCATATTAATATCAAAAATCTTTTATATTTTAAATAAAAAGATTGACTTGGCAATCGCACTAAACAATCTAATTTAATATAATATGTATTACTTGTGAGATACAGTGGGTTTTCATGCGATGGCCCAAGTCAATCTATTTATTTAAAACACAAAAGATTTTTGATATTGATATGGTCACAATAAGATGTTGTTAGGTTAGCTAATTCCCCCCCCGAACGGGTTCCCGCCTTGTCGTGGCGGGGGCTTAGAAGCCGTGGCTTGGTCACCCACGGCGAAACAAAGAGGAACCCATATGGCTGGTCCGAGGCGGAGGGCCGGCCCGAGGTGGCCACTCCGAGTGGGCTTGGGAAGCCCACTTCGGATGTGTGTTGGTGGACTGCGGTGAGAGGTGTGTCCTCCCCACCTACCGCTGCAGCCGAGGTGGAGTCGCGGAGGAAGAGGAGTGTTGGTATGGCGATGCGCCACTCGCCCTATCCTCCGCGACTCAAATGGGGCCGCACCGTTGATGCGGTGGTGGTGGGGCTGCGGGG